TAGTGATCCAAGCCATTACATACGGGACTTGGACCTGTTGCCTAACATTGCTCCAGACACTTTATTCTTTTGCTGTCTTATGGTTGAGAATTGGCTACACACACATAAAGACATGGATGAGGTGATGAAAATCATTAAGAATAATGGGGCAAACTCAGCTCCTCTCTACCTTGGTAGCTCTCTCTCAGCTTGGAGCTCTCTCTCAGCTCCATTGCTCCTACTTAACTGTTTAATCACCATATTCACTAGCAAGTTTGAAAAGAGGAAGCACATCTGGAGAAGTGGACATAGGAGAAAATTAAACTGATGAAGGAAGCCAGTTGTACTAGGATGCCCATGTCCTTTTAGAAATTTCATCTCCACCATCAGTAGAAAAAGGGGTGGATAAAGGTGTTGATTGTGAAGCTCAAGAAGGAGATGCATGTGTGTTTTTCTGCTTTCCATCACCACCAGAATCATGCTGTTGAAAACCAGCACCATCACACTTTGTTATTTTGTAATGAATATACAAATCAGCTCTTAAAAGCCTCCAAAGAAGGAGCCTCCATCACATTCCAGGGCAGAGAGTTCCACTGCTGAACAGTTCTCACAGTGAGGAAGTTCTTCCTAATGTTCAGATGGAATCTCCTTTCATGCAGTTTGAAGCCATTGTTCTGCATCCTAGTCTCCAGGGCAGCAGAAAACAAGCTTGCTCCCTCCTCCCTATGACTTCCTCTTTATACATGGCTATCATTATATCTCATTTTCTTCCTCACTATCTAACTATCATGTATAGTTGAAGATAATTGCAGGTACAGCTTTTTCAAGCTCACCATGATGTAAACGTAGTGTTTATTCACTGTTAATGTCCTATGAGTCACAACCATGTCACTCTTCCACCTGTTTTGTGTGTTTTATATATACAAACACGCACCATATTCTGAAAGTAGACACTCTGTCCTGTGTTTCTGACAAACCTATTCACAAACCCAAAAGACAAAAAAAAAAATCAGTGCCGTGGAAGAAAGGTGGAAAATGGCTCTCAAAGAGTGAATGCTCTGCTTAGCTTATCAGACTTCCTGATGACTTGCAACTTCTCTTTCTCCTCTAGCTGAATTCAGAAGTATACAATGCCATGCATGTGTCACCAGCAAATCCCTGAGTTGTTCTGTTGTAGTAGAGCAGAGGACAGGATAGGATCTCCTAAATTGTACAGGCTCTGGCCCAAAGCTGCTGTGTCGCATTTGAAATTTAAGAATCCCCTGCAGACAGACAAGAGATCCCTACTCAGCTTAAGGCAATGACCTTTAGCAAACAATGGCACATTCTCTGTTGGCAATCCCAGCCCTACTCAGAATCCACACTCTTCTTATGCCCATTTTCTCCAATAATGCTGAAATAGGATTTAATAGGGAAAAACACAAGCATCATCAAGTCATTGCCCACACACTTTCCACGGTGAATTATTTATTCTAAAAATATTGGAGAAAACAAAACACAAAAGCACACAAACATACAAACAAAAAGCCAGCAAAATCTCTCTTCCTTCTGCTGCAGTGAGTTCTCCCTCAAAGGCCTGACCAAAGGAAATGGATGCCATGACTGAGCTCTTAAAACTTGCCAAGTGGTAGCAATGGCAGAATGCCAGGTGAGTGGGTGAGGGGAAAGAAAATGCCAAGCAATGGCTGGTTTCTATGGGAATCTTGAAATTTCTATGCCACGCCTTTACAGGACAGTCACTGGCATAAATAGCAGTCAAAAGCGTCATTCAGATCCCAAGGACATGGGAAACCCGGAAATGTTGATGCTCTATATGGCAAATAATAATCAAACTTCCTCAGAAGTCAGTCCTATCTATTCTTAATAAGATAAGAGAGCAAGTTTTTATCTTTTGAGCACTTTTTGAAGGGAATGAGCACATACCCTGAATGGAAGTACTGTAACGTATCCATCTACCTAACACCGAATGCCTAATAATATCTAATAAATATGTAGACCCAGCTAATTCCTTCTGGAAAAAGGCTGACCAGTTAGAACTGCAGAACCAAAGTTACTGAATGAGTTAGACACCACCAAGGCCCATTAAAATAAATGGATTTTTGGTTTGCATTGGACTAGGTGAACTGAATTTAGAAGGGCTTGGTTGTATCTAACTTTCTTCGGACTGTGCTGAAGCTTCAAAGTACAATGAAATGGAAAATGGGGTGGAAACAAGAAGTAGTATTCATTATGTTCTGTTAGATCTGGAATTCCTGTTTTAGAACCGGCAACAGCCCCTATCTCTTAACATAAAAACCTTCTATGTCAATTCTGCTCAGAAGGCTGAGGTTTTTAATTACACAGGGGAGGATCCGCAAAGTGGTATAAATGTGTAACTCCCATGCATAACTTTATATCCCATTACAATGGTATCCTCAGATTTGTAGTTTAGTGAGCTACTTAGAATTTGCTGTGCGAGAGATCTCATAATATAAATCAAGGCAATGGAGTAGAGAATCTAACTGCAAAGCCCAGGGATAGAACTATAGCAAATAGGGCAAATATGGGCAAACTTTGGCCCTCCGGGTGTCTTGGACTTCAACTCCCACAATTCCTAACAGCCTGGAGGGCCAAAATTTGGTCATGCTTGAGATAGTGTATCAAACTGTTATGACTGGTGGTGGTGGTGGTGGTAGTAGCTGTTGTTCTTGTTGTTGTGTAGTACCTTCAAGCCATTTCTAAATTATGGCAACTAGAAGGTAAACTTCTCATAGGGTTTTCCGGGCAGAATCTGTCCTGAGGAATTTGCTCTTGCCATCCTCTGAGGCCGAGTGAGTGGGACTTGCTCAAGATCATCCAGTGAAAGCCATGGCCAGTGTGGATCTGAACTCTTATCTTCTGGTGTTTTACTACTTCATCACACTAGAGAATAAATATATTTAAAATCTGGTTTTTGCCTCCAGCAGAATTCTGGGGTTTGTAGTTTAGTGAGGCTATTCAAGACTCCTCCCTAAACTACAAAACCCAGAATTCTGCAGGAGGCAGAAACCAGATTTTAAGTGGATTTATTCTCTAGTGTGATGAATGTCCCTATGCAACACTCAATATATTTTTATAGTTATATATGATGGATGAAAATATCCAAGCTCCTTCTGCAAATTTATTTATTTATTTATTTATTTCTTGCACTTATAGACCGCCACTCTCAGCCCTGGGGCAAATCTTGTTTTACGACAAAATAACTGCAATGGTTGTGTGCTTAGTGTTAATGTTGCAAGTTGAAGAGAAGAGCCCTTGTTTGATGAAACAGGAAGCCAGCTCTTCCAGGGTACGACAGAAGGCTTAGAGACAATTTGCATCCTAAGTGCTTGGAGAATCCGTTACTCAGCTCGCTCTTCTCCCCTCCCTTGTTGCCCCGGAAGAAAAAGCCTGCATCATAGTATATACGTCATTATGTAGGAGTAAGCAAAGCAGAGATGTCTGCCGAATATTTTGTTTCCAGCTTCACACAAGTGCTCTCCAGTTTAATATGCATTTGACACCTGGCTAGGATTTTCCACTGCATATACCATTTTTTCTTCGTGTCAGGAGCAACTTGAGAAAATGCAAGTTGCTTCTGGTGTGAGAGAATTAGCCATCTGCAAGGACGTTGACCAGAGGATGCCCAGATGTTTTGATGTTTTACCATCCTTGTGGGAGGCTTCTCGCATGTCCCCGCATGGGGAGCTGGAGCTGACAGAGGGAACTCATCTGCGCTCTCCCTGGATTCGAATCTCCGACCTGTCAGTCTTCAGTCCTGCCGGCACAAGGGTTTAACCCACTGTGCCACCAGGGGCTCCATTACATATACCATAATATGCATATCACTGCTCATTCAACCCCCCCCCCCCCTTTTCGTTCTGCTTTTATAATTTTGACTGTAAATCTGATCACAATGGAAATTATTAATTTCCCTCTCTTATTTTAATAGGACAACGCTGAAGCACACATACACACATCTCCAGAACAACGTAAGAGGAGGACAGCCAAAGGGATGCCACTCCAAAGGAAGAAGAAGAGGTGTTTGCTAGGATGCAAAAAACTGTGTTTATTGTTACATTCTTGTCTACAGGATTCACGACTAATTAAATGTGCAGTGTAGCTACAATCGATACAAAATGCACCATAAAACTAACAGGATTGGCTGTTCAGGCTACAAAAGTGTGCCATTATAGCTAGAAATAAAGCCTCACATCAAAAAGTTGTTTTTTTTTTACCTCTTGGGTATATTGAGATGCTAGAGGCTTAAAATAAAGATGTGCCTCATTGCCGAGTATCATCAGACATGCTTTTTAAATCCTGAACTAAAAACAGTTGTACTCCTAAATTGCAACAGTGTGCTTTACTCTTTCTCTCTGTCCATCCCTTGTGGGGGAGTTAAAAGGACAGATGGTAACTTTCCCCAAGAGAAAATTTTCTTTTCGGCAAAGCAAAGCAGTATGCAAAAAAAAACCAAAAAAAAAAAAAACAACCCAAAAAGCCAGTGTAATTTGCCCTAGGAGTAGTTGCAAAAGGCAAGTGACGTCCTACGATATAAATAAGCCATCGATTGGAAATGGGAGGAGGGGTGTAATCTCCCTTTCCTGCAAATGCTCACACCCCCTGTTCACCTTCAAGGGAGAAGGTGAGCCTTAGGAAGGAGTCCTGGTTATGGGGCTTGGTGCAATCCAGGGGAACCTGCCCCACAACTCCAGTTTTGCACAGTAGGAGCATCAGTTTCCAGGGTCAGGCCAAAGGTACCCAGAGTGATGGAAGCGCCATTTGTTATTGCAGTCCAGTGACCGCTGTCTGATGCACACACAGAGAGAGCAGAGGTGTGCACCCACATCTCTCCCTCATGCATTGCACACACTCTGCCTGCAAGGCCATCTTCCTTGCGGCCCCCTTCCCTCTTCCATCCCCATGCACACCCACGCCAGATGCGGGCAAATCCAGCCAGGACCTGAAAACCCAGGAGGAAAAAGAAGAAGAGAAAGAAGAAGAGAAAACCCAGTTCATCTCACCAACCCCTTTCTCTTGACTCCCGCCTCTGGCTTGGCCTTGGCTGATGTCACACCTTGGAAGCTGGATGTTCCGCAGAGAGGAGGAACGGAGGAAGAGACAAGGGGAAGGGAGGGGAGGAAGAGCCTGGGAGTTTCCCACAATGCCTTGCGTCAGACCTGCATGATGCTCAGGAGAGGGGAGGGGGAGGAGGAGGGACCAAAACAGGAGGAAGAAAGGCAAGCAACAATTGGGTCTCCATCCCAATCCTTTTACATTACTGAGGCAAAGTCTTGATAGAGTGTAGGGTGAGTTTCCAGGATTCTTTGGGAAGGAGCATTGACATTTAAAGTGGGATCAAACTGAATAATGCAGATTCAGCTCTGCATATGGATCAAGGCTTGCATTATCATTTGCTACTATGGACATACTTTGAAATGTGTTGTCGAAGGCTTTCATGGTCAGAATCACTGGGTTGCTGTACATTTTCCAAGCTGTATGGCCATGTTCCAGAAGCATTCTCACCTAACATTTCGCCCACATCTATGGCAGGCATCCTCAGAGGTTGCAGGGTCTGTTGGAAACTAGGCAAGTGAGGTTTATATATCTGTTGAATGTCCAGGGTGGGATAAATAACTCTTGTCTGCTTGAGGCAAGCAGGAATTTTGCAATTGGTCACCTTGATTAGCATTTAATGGCCTTGCAGCTTCACAGCTTTGCTGCTTCCCTTGAGACATTTATAACTACCCTTTTAATTCCCTCTGTTTGTATTTCCCCACCTACTCAAACAGGTGTATCATAATTTGGTAAATGAGATCACATTTCAGGGATCTGATAAAGTGGGTTGTCATCTTCCCCACAAAAATGTGCCGAATAAAATGTGTGGGTTTGTAGTCGCCTGGATTTGTTGTTACTGCAACAGATGTACATGTTTTTATTCCTTCCCCTCGGAAATGCCGACGCCTTCTGTGAATAGTGTCATTAGTTTTTGGCCATCAGGTGGCACTGGGCTTAATTATGGAAAGAGGATTTTTCCATTACTAAATCCTAAGAGGAGCAGTATCACAAAGTTATTTTCCAGCTAGCTGACTGTTGAATACTCTTAGGTCTTGGAAGACACACCTTGTTGCCCTTTGCTCTTTCTCTTTCTGTCTTAATTTAGGGAGAGAGGGAAATTGTGCGGTGAAATTGTTGAACCACAACTCCTATTAGCCGTTGCCGATGTGACCAATGATGAGGAATGCTGTGATTGGCAGTCAAACAAATTATGGAACAAAATTTGCATTCATGAAGTTTCAACAGTATGGTATCACTCAGGCATGGGCAAACTTGGGCCCTCCAGGTGTTTTGGACTTCAACACCCACATTTTCTAACAGCCTCAGGCCCCTTCCTTTTTCTCTCCTTTTCTGCTCAAGCGGCTGAGAAGCCCGAGGTTGTTAGGAATTGGGGAAGTTGAACGCCAAAATACCTGGAGGGCCCAAGTTTGCCCATGCCTGGTATAACTTGTCTTCTATTGAGATAAACAGGTATTTAAATAACCTGGGCATCACTGGATCACACAGTTATTCCTTTTCTGTGCAGTTTTGTGTGAAAATACATGCCCTTAAGGTGGGAAAAGCATAGAATCATAGAATCATAGAGTTGGAAGAGTCCTCATGGGCCATCCAGTCCAACCCCCTGCCAAGAAGCAGGAATATTGCATTCAAATAACCCCTGACAGATGGCCATCCAGCCTCTGTTCAAAAGCTTCCAAAGAAGGAGCCTCCACCACACTCCAGGGCAGAGAGTTCCACTGCTGAACGGCTCTCACAGTCAGGAAGTTCTTTCTCATGTTCATAGACCTCTGAATGTTGTTGAACTGCAACTCTCAGTAGCCTCGGCCAGCACAGCACATACTCAAAATATTATGTGTTGTCGACAAACAATATTTATCAAGGCCGTCACATTCTGCACACTCTTGCTTTAAAGTTTTCAACTTTAACTGATTTTGCAGGGACAGTCCCAATTAATTCTCTGTCATCCCCCTTTTTGTGGCTTTAAAAACTCACCAGATCCTCTCCTCTGCCCAAGTTTCATCTTTATCCTTGGCTTCCTTTCATTTGTACAAACTGAATTCAAAGTGCAAGAGTAGATGCACTCAAATTATCTCAGCAGAATCTTGCTCTTCCCAGTAGGCTCAGACTAAAGCAGACAACTTTAATCTCTCTTACCTTGTGTGTTCTTTGTCATTATTAACTTTTGTCATCTTGATCACACTCTGATGTTGCTTGGCCAAACATGCCCTGGTTTCCATCTATTAAATGCTGGAAGGTATTAACTTTCAAAATATAATCCACCCAAATCTACGGATTTGGTTGGCAAAATGTCATCTAGAACAAATTTCCTTTTTTGGACCACAACTTCCAGAAACTCCCATCAGCATGACTGGTTGTAATTTTTCTAAACTTAGTTTCCATTGTAGCAGATGTTTCTTTCTGTTTCTTCTATGGATGCATCTACATTGAAGAATTAATGCAGTTTGACACCATGTTAACAGCCATGGTTCAATGCCATGGAATCGTGGAAATGGTAGTTTTACAAGGTCTTTAGCCCTCTCTGCCAAGAACTGCTGGTGCCTCACCAAACTACAAATCCATAATACTGAGCCATGGAAGTAACTCCTGGAAAAGAATAAGTAAAAATAATGGTATCTGAAAGCCATTTGGAATCAAGCTTCAACATTTTTCCTAAAGCAATGGTTGTATCCACAATGTGGAATTATAACTATTTTGCTACCACATTAACTTGCATAGCTCAATGTTATGGAATTCTGGATTTGCAGTTTTGGGAGAGATTTACCCTTTTTTTTATAGAGCTCTGGTGCTGGAACAAACTGCAAATCCCAGGATTCTATAGGATAGAGCTATGGCAGTTAATGTGACAAACTGCTATTATTCTGCAGCATGCATGGTCCGTCTGTCTCAATAGACCTGTTTTCCCTGGTGCAATGTAATCAGGTTTTTAAAATTGTGTCAGAAGCCCAGTCGCTTCTGGTGTGAGAGAATTGGCCATCTGCAGAATTGGCCATCTGCATCTTGTGGGAGGCTTTTCTCATGTACCCACAGGGGAAGCTGGGGCTGACAGATCGGAGCAGGTACCCTTTTCCTGTTGGATCAGGTACCTTGCTGAACCACTTGCCAATATTCTGGAAGAGTTCATAGGAGACAACCCCTGGCAGTGAGACCAGGAAAAAGCCTGTTGGCAGAAACCCAGGCAAGTGATAAGTCTGAGCTGCCCCTTTTCCATCTATTTAATGCTGGAAAGTATTAGCTTTCAAAATATAGTCCACCCTCACCTGTATCTATGGATTTGGTTGGCAAAATGTCATCTAGAACAAATGTCTTCAGAATTTCCTTTTTTGGACCACAACTTCCAGAGACTCCCATACGTCCCAGGTTCCAATAGTTATGAGGAAGGGAAAAGACATAGAAATAACTACAATTCTATCCTAGGGAAAGGGAAGCATGCAGAATAGACTCAAAGGGGAACTTTGGAACAAAAAGGCAGAAAGGTTACACATTGCAAGGATGGGAACTGGTAAGGAAAACAACTTTAGAACATGTGATTATTCAGCAAGTAAAGCGTTCTTTTTAACAGCAGTCCTGGGAGTCATAGTTTCTCAGGCTTGGAAAACATAGTCTTCATAATCCCTGGGTTGAATTAGGTCCCAAAAGAGGCCAGAGAGTGTGCTCTGAGACAAGGAGGTTGGCAGGAGAAAAATATAATGAGCAGAGAGAGCTTAAACTATCAAAGGTTTTCTAACGGGGGAACCAGCTTTCCGGAAAGAGAAGAAAAGAGGAAAGGCTGAATTGCAACAAGGAGAGGTACACGGTGGCTGGGAAAGATACATTACAGCAAGGAAGGGGCAAGAGAAGCACAGTTCAGGGTAACCAATGTATTAAGGGATCATAGGCAGGCTGTAGCTAGCTTCCTGATTGTCTGAACATGCGCAGAGCCAAACAAGTACACTTTAAGTGTCCGCAGCCTTTGGAACTCTCTGCTGCAGGCACGAAGGGAACAAATGATAATTTTGCCCAGGGGAGTTTCATGCAACAATACTTTGTGCTATACAACTAGAACACTATAATCCCACTTTAATTGCCATGCCATCATCCAATGGAATCATGGATTTTGTGGGTTTTGGAGGTGTACTTTGAATTCTCAGATGGAGAGCACCGAACTACAAACCCCATGATTCCTCAAGGTGCCACTGGGTGCTTAACATGGAATGATAGTTCAGTGATTATGTGCTGTAAAAAATGCTTCTCGTGATGCCAAATTGCATTTCAGCTTTATTACATTGATATGGGCTCTTTCAGGGAAACTTTATCCCACTGCTATTGTAAGCAAGGAGTAAGGCTTCCTCCTCTCTCTTTGTTTTAGTTTAATATTAAAATGATATGGATGGGAAAGTGCCAACAGTGACGAGTTTACAAATGATCAGCAGATGGCAGTAGTAAACTCTGAGAAGAGTTAAAATGGAGGAGGCAAGGGGGAAAATAATGAAGAAGGCAATCCTGTTGCTTTTGCAAGGAGACAATTGAGTTTCTTAGGCAACAATTTAGACAAGAAGAAAATCGAAGCTTCCTTGCCCTCTGATGTTATTCATTTTCAAGTCACCTGTGAGAATGGTTCTCTCTCTGTTTCGATATCACAATGTGAAGAATTGGAACATCATTTTAAACGGTGGGTTGACTTTGGTTCTTTTGCTATCAATCCCTGTGGAGAAGGAGGAGGCGTTCAACGTGATCAATTGATATCTTGAATCTGGTTCACCTCTGGACTCGAACAAAAACAAGTCAAAAGCCCTTGGGATGCAAACAGGAGGCAGGCAGTTTTCTTGCTTGCAGCTTGTAGCTGTGTTTCCACACAAGCAGAGTAGGCTTTTAAATCATATTTTAGGAGAAATCTCCAAAGCTAGCAAGACTATTTGGAAAAGCAGCATTTCCACTTCACAGTAGTGGCTGGCCAAGAAACCAAAGGGTTAGCACAGTTTCAGGAATCCAAAAAGAACAAGATTTGAGCCCTTCAACGGAAAATTATGCCCCAAACGATGGCATCATGCAATAGCTGCCATCTCAGGATGTTCCCTTTGTTCTAGATTACAAAATTTAGACTCTTAATCTCAATCACCAGACT